ATATATATATATATACTCCTTGTAGCATCCACAATACTCCTAGATTAGCTTGTTAAAAGCGTACGTAATAAAATGTTACAAAATAAACAATATATATGTATATATATATAACTTTAACAAAGAGATTGATTTTGTTAAATGAACAACATTTTTTCTTCTTAGCATTATTGGAACTTTAACTATGGTATTTCACAAACTTATCCTTTTTTTCATTCCGCTTTTAAGTGTTTTTCTTGCTTTAAAACTGCTTTTAACTTTCTTAAATATAGTTTCTTAATTTATACTTTCCGAGTATTTCTTAAAGTATTATAATGCACTTCCTTTTCTTAAGATTTTTCTGCTTACATTTTTAAATCACAGTGATATCGCTACTTAACGAAGTAACCCTATCATGCTGGTTCTGTTATACAAGATCCGATTCACAAATCTTTGATAAATCGGGGGAGATTTTAAAAGCTAGATAATTTATTAAAATAAAACTAAATGTACATTACATTATACAATAGTAATTAATGACAAAAAAGTTTTAAACTTAATCTCCTTGGTGCTACTGGGAGTTCAAATAGTCGCCTCTAATATATTACACAATAGTACAAATGAAGAAGTGTATTAAAGCTGGAGTTTACTCTGTCAGATATATAGTAGTATCATCAATGATCTGTGTATTAAAGCTGGAGTTTACTCTGTCAGATATATAGTAGTATCATCAATGATCTGTGTATTAAAGCTGGAGTTTACTCTGTCAGATATATAGTAGTATATCAATGATCTGTGTATTAAAGCTGGAGTTTACTCTGTCAGATATATAGTAGTATCATCAATAATCTGTGTATTAAAGCTGGAGTTTACTCTGTCAGATATATAGTAGTATCATCAATGATCTACGCATATCTTGAAACTCCGAAAATCAATCACTAACAAATTCGAACATATCGGGGGCTGAATAGCTTGTCGTGAAATGCTTTCACCCTTATTTCCGAGTAACGTTCAAATGAAAAAAAGATTAAAATAATGCATGTGGCTACTTTCTATCTGATTGGATAACTTGCAAGTATTCTCGATTCCATACGAAGTACTCACAAAGTAGTGATCTAAGCTTTATTTCTTCTTTATATCCTTGAAATATTACGCCAGATATTATATTAAACAGAAAAGGCTATACCTGAAGAGCGCAGTACCTATTATGCACATTGAAGATCCGTAAGAAAAGGAACAATCAAGTTTATATCGTAAAAATAACGCAGAAACTTAATACATCATGGGTGTTTGTTGGTAATTTCTCGTATATAATTCAAGTGAAAGTGAAACATGAAAAAATCTAAGTAATATGTGTAAAATGCTACGACAGAATATGGGAATATTCAGTGTAAATAATGGGTTTCAAGTACTGAAAAAGTGAATTAATTTAATATACAAAAAGCACTATCATATCTTGAATGCAAAGACACAAGTTTTTTTACGTTTGAATGCAAAAATATGAGTTAATTTGGCTAGCTTGAATGGCAGGGTAAAATAGGTGCTAAACAAGCTTTATGTTGTAGCGTTGGTAAAACTATATTATTTTGTGTAGAAGAAAAGCACCCATTGTCTTATCTTGGATGCTATGGAAAAGACTATTTATGTTGCATTCTACGATGAAGCCTAATTTTAGCTTACTTTTATATACGGTACATATTTCGTTTACTCATAAGCTAGAAATTAAACTATTTATGATTTACTGAATCTAAAAATGGCATTTATCCTAAGAAAGACGCTGAGAATAAGCTCACTGATAACTGAAAGTATTTATGAAACTATTTTCTGAAGTTAAATTCTAAAATGAAACGTATGTAAAATTTAAGGTATATGGAGTGATAATTATTGTAGTTTGAAGTCTGAGATAAAAGCAAGTTTTTACACAACGTGTATAAAGCACTGTCTCTCAAGGATCAAAGGTGCACAATGTCATGTAGGAAATAATCCTGAAAATATCACGGACATCAAGTTAGGAAATGTCTAAACATGTTATGTACGTAGTGAAAATTTATGTTAATTTAGTAGAGAATGCGTTATAACCATAAGTCTGTAAAGTAGAATGAAAATACAGAAAGCATTTAACAACATATCGAGTAAGGCCAAATTCAATACAAAATATTAATGTGTCCAATAAAAAATATTCAATAAACATAAATTTAAGAATGTTATACATAAATACAAGTTATTAAAAATGTGTTTATAGCTGTGTGGGATAAGAATTTAAATAATTAATTTATTAATCAATATGTCGAATAAGGAAAAGTTCAATGAAGAATGTCCTTATCAATTTACAAAATAATACAATCAATTAATAACCTATTTATCATTGTGTAGAAGGCTGCAAAAATAATGTGTTCAACAGTATGTCAGGTATGAAGAGTGTTTTAATAAAGAATACATGCGAAAAAGTGTGGAATAAGGAGATGTGTTTTAAACAATATATTTATTAATGTGTGGAGTAAGAAGTGAAATAAAGAATTGATTTTACAATGTGTTGTGTAAGAAAAAACCTAACTAATGTGCTCGAAAATGTGTCGAGTAAGAGGATCTTGGAGTAGTGGTAGAGTAGATAAGTTAGTCAAGCCATCTTTTCAATGATTTGATGCTAAAGTCAAACTATTAGAGGTCTAGACTTATTTATAAATATATTAATTAACTACATGTCAAAAGAGGTAATCATCTCTCTATACAATCTCTAAGTTACGTCTCACTTAGAATACTGTGTACGGTTTGGTATTCCTATCTAAGAAAGGATACCGACTTATTAAAAAGGGTTCAATGGGGAACTGCTAGATGATTCAGGAGATGGAATGGTTATCTTATAGAGATAGGTTGAGGTCTTTTAAGTTATTTTCTCTTGAGAAAACAAGGGAAAGAGGTGGTCTTATTAATGTTTATAAGATTATTCAGAGGATCGATAAGACAAAGGACTCAGATGTCTATGTATTGTATTCAGGCTATATTTAAGACAGTTTTATTTTTCTAACAGGGCGATTGACATATAGAAGGAGATACCGTTGGCAGTAGTGTAAAGAGGTAGTTAAAAATAATAATTCGAATCGATAATTTCCTTGGAAATAAAGGCTTTAAGTTTTCACTTTTTATCAAACGAGACTGTGCATGGATAGCTTTGGAAGTCCAAAGAGTCTCTTATAATTCGTAAGTTATGTTAACATAAAGGGAAATATATACCTACATTTCTAAGAACTTAGAAGTGAAAGTAAAGACGAATATGTTATGTCAGTTACAGTTACCATATCTAGTACTGATGAGGCCTTTCTCCAAATACGACAAACGTAGTAGTGGTCTAGGCCTTATTTATATCATCAATTTTCATGAACAACGACTGTTATGGTGTGAACCGTACTATGTAAGTGAATTGTAATTATTATCAATTTTATATAAGTAATTAACAAGTCAGATTTTCGGATAAATATTAATAACACATTATTATATATTTATGATGAGAAGTTGTTTCAATTTAAGTCAACCGTACGCTAATATCCAGTGATTAACTGTTGTTTACTAAATCCATATAAAAGCTTTGCTTTTCGTGATGTTATCTGCACACATTAATTCTAATTAGTTAAGTAACTCTTGTGACACTTGTTAGTAATATATTTTTGTAAACGATGTTTTCGGTTTCTCTTTCTTGTTGTTAAGTTATGACATTACTCGTATTGATTGGAAGAACGTGGATTCATAAATTCATGCAGCACCAACCTTCTATATCTAAATGAAGTTAAATGTACCTCGCTCGCGTAGGTTAGGTATATCCTTAATACGACCATGCTCTAATCATAAATACAAATATTATGATATGATGAACTCCTATTCTACATAAGATAAGGGTTCGTTAAATTTATTTTTGTATTACAAAATTCTTCTTTCTATTCATTCTGAAAGCATTATAACATATAATGAGTTCGCCTTGTATTTGCTAGTAATAACTGCTATTCCACAGCTTTAACGAATTTTATGATATTTTATATATGTATATATTTATAAACTATGCACGAAAATAAAACCAAACTAAAATAGATAACAGAAACTAAGGAAATTATTTGTCTCTTACAAATCTTTCAGTAAACATTAAAAATTTACTATTACTAAATACCTATTTGTTAATAAAGTGAATATCTTGTACATAAATAAAATAAAAATAAATAAGTGTAATAAATGTTTCCACTTCTTGCTTACTTTGAGTTCTTTACGTTTTTCGAAATATAATTCTTAAATTTCTCATTGTAAAAGTTAACATTAACATCAGAATCATAATTTTAGAGGCTGTGAAATTTTCACCTTCGTGACGAATACTCAATGTAATTCTTTACCTAGCCTAGCCTAGTACAGGACCAAGTAAATTATTACCTAGCCTAGCCTAGTACAGGACCAAGTAAATTATTACCTAGCCTAGCCTAGTACAGGACCAAGTAAATTATTAAATAATGAAACAATTGTGTGTACTAACTGAAGTTCCAAATGTTGACCCGACGTTTATTTTTGAGTACTGTTGCTCTCTCTCTCTATATATATAGATGTTAATTGATGAAATGACGAAACGTTTCTTTTATATATTTTGAATCAGATTTTGGTTAACCCATAGTCAAAACATATAACGCAGTTTACCAATAAAAGCTAAACATTCATCTTTATGGCAAATGAATGGAATTGTAAGTAGAAATGTAAATTTGAAATGAAGGAAAAAATACATAGAACACGATATACTGAGCTGATCTGCGTAACTATCCACAACTTGCGCTAAATTATAGTCTTATTTTTATACTTACTGATTCTTTTATTGATAAATTTTCAGAACAAAAATGTTTATTTCATAGATCTGAGAAATCCTATAATATTGACTGAGAAATAGCTATTGGTGTGGGGACAAAATTTCTCGAAACAGTGACTTATCTACATAAATCAACATTTCCAAGAATAATGCTACACAAGCTTTAGAGTGTGATGATGACGGATATACTTACATACTTGAACCAGAACGTAACGACAAGGTTCTTCCTGTATACCCACGAGGTTTTTCGCTTTACATGTCAAAGTACCGAAATCTTCTTTCCGCTCAAGCCTGACTTTAGCAATGCTATGTGTTCCGCTACTTACAAAAGACAGTAGTTCTCTATGATGCTTCGAGTTATTAAACATCCAGGTGAAAGTAACTTCTGGAGGGTCAGCAGTGACAAGACAGAATACTTCGACAATCTCGCCAGTGGTAGCGTAGTAAGTCTGCTTCTGTTCCGCTACACATTCGGGTTTGTCTGCGTAGTACATAAATAAATGGCATAAACTTCAGGATATTCAAATTACGTAGTTTTAAAAAAGTATTCAAAAGCAAACTATTTCACGTCAGACTCTGCGAAAGCATCAATTTTGTACATACTTGTTATTACATACCTTTAAATGAAATACAATCTGAAATTTAACCTAAAGCTTTAACTGGCATATGTTTGAATATTATTGTTATATATGTGTGTGTTTGTGTACTTAATATGTATTAATTTATAGCTGTTTTCAGAAGTCTGGGTACTTTATTCTTAAAGTATAACATCAATTACAACATACAGTGGACAAGCAATTTTTGTATTTATTATTAATGCTACAGGGGTTACACTAAACTCTGTTTATTTGTGCAAGTAGACTTATTTTACATTGATTCGTAATTGCATTGATTGAGTTAATTATATACTTTTATATGTATGTTTGTTTATAGGTGTTTACACAATACATATGTTAATCATAATCCATGAAAGAAGGAGAGCGTAGCAACAGCATGTTTTAAAACAGCTTTTACAAAAACATCACATGAAACTGAAGTACAAACCATGACGTAGGGATGGTAAAATGCACCTTAGTAAGAGACGAATCTGAATAAGTAGGACCCTCACATCAGCAGAAATATATCGCTTATTACATTAAACTTATATTCGAAAGTCACATATGAGTAAAAAGAAATGTATATTGTAATTTGATTTATATCTGCTTTTTTTCGGATTTGAAAGTAAAATTTTATTTTCCTTTGTTTGATAATAGGTTTTATTAAAAAATACTGTTCAGATAGAGATGTGACCATTATGAGGACCATATTGCCAACTTGGGAGATAAGCTTTACTTAGAACTTCGAGAGTCAGATTGCAGTAATCTGTTGTATTTTTAATAATTTTGTTTCATTAAAAGCAACTACCTTCTCGCAACTGGGTGAAAGGTAGTTTTAGATTTGGATTAAGAACCTACACGTGTACTTATGTTTTGGTGACCTACTTCCCTCAGATACCTCTCCTCCAACACTGTTGTTCTGCTGTGTGTAACTTTCAGACGACCCTCTTCCCACAGTGTAATTTGCACTTATTCTTTATTTTTCTGCGTTTTATGTGCATAACGTAATGTTTTTGGCCTTGTTGTCTGAGAAAACCTTAATATATGTATATATGGTTAAATAATGTTATGTGATAATCACTTATGTTCTAAAGTCATTTAGAATTCATACTTGTATGTTAACTGATAATTTCTCCTAATTTTGTGACAGATGTCTTGTGTTTTTAAATTATTCTTCTATTACTGATGATATAACTAAGTGAATTGGGTTACTTGTAAATTCCTTTATTTAACTAGTTGTTGGAATATCGTTGAAAACTATTTCGGATTAGCAAATTTCAGAGTAATTTGTCATTGCTAATAAAAGATTACATTCGTTTCGTAAACTATTTAGTTTGATGGTAGATGGCTGATAACTTTGTGACTGGTAAATGTTTTTATTCAGTTAAATATGGCTATTATGTGCTTACTACTTCTTAAAAATAGCTCCATATATGACATAGAAATGTGAATATAGATATATACAAAGCTCCTGTGGTTTGTAAAAAATCAGTGTTTGCTTTCGTTCACTTTAGAATTTGTATAAGTGGTTCAAGCTTGGTTTGTGTTATGTCATACGTTATGTTTTACGTAATTGTTCATATTTCTTTGATATTATTGGTACTTTTGGAATCGTTGGTGTACATACATATCTATCAAAGCGGCCAATAGTCCCTTTCTAGAAAGAATAATAAAGGACTCAAAAAGAAGAGAAAATTCTAACACATATACAACTATTAAGCAGTTGGTTCGCTGTATAATATCGAATAACGAATTCGACGAAATGTCCTAGCATTATTCACATACCTCAATTAATTTAGGTTACTGTACGGTGAAGTAAAACAGACTGAAAATTACATAGATATTATATACACTTCACCATTATAAAAGGCCTAATAGTATTTCTTTGGTTTGCTGACCAAAGCTGTGCTGGTGAGTTGAATAGGCGAAACTGCAGTCCATAGCGGAGGGTAGGGCTAATCAAAGAGTACATTATGTCTCTACGTCACAGATTATCTTTTCAATTTTACCTCTGGTGAATAAGAAAAGAAATCTTGAACACATATTCAGTCATTAAACAGTTGGTCCGCTGTGTGATATCGAATAATGAATTCGACGAAATGTCCTAACATTATTGAATACCTAAATTACTTTAGGTTACTATATAGTGAACGGACTCAAAACCCCATATATAATAAAGAACTCACGTGCATAGATTTTACCAAATAAAATATTGTAGTTCTACATAATTTTGAGTATCGATTTACATTAAGGAGACGAACACTCTAAATGTATTTAATGCATAGTAAAAATTCCTGCAGTGTAATAGATGAAATTTGTATTCAAGAATTATTATATTTGTTTTAATGTTGATGATAGTTTCATAACAGAAAAATACAAACTTATGCACTTTAATTTTCCATTTTGTCCAAGTGTTTAGGCCATCATCAATGGATTTTCTTGAATATTTTTTACTGGCAAAAAACATTTTTAAAAACTTACAACTTTAAAAACCTTAATTTTTGAAGTACCGGTACGATTGGAAAAAAATAGAGTTTGAGGAATGTCAAAATCATATTTTTAAATAATTATTTGAAAGTAGTCACAATCTATTAGATATATGTACATCTTATGCGTATTTATAAGCAAAAGTAAGAATGTATAAACATAAATCAAACATTACATTTTATGTTCAGCTCAATGTCCAAGCTTCGTCCACGACCTTCCGTGTTTGTAGCGTCACAACTATACAATCCTCTCCTTTCTTTTTTGATGTCAAACAGCAGAAGAGTCTGATTACTGAGGACGATTCCCATTTCCGGATCGCCAGAAATTTCTTCATCCTGGAAGTACCACTGGACTGTACTGACTCTGGGGTTGGCTTGAAAATCACAGTTCAAAAACACATCATCTGATTCGTGTACAACGTGATTTTTATGCTCGCCTCCCACAGATAATGTAACCACTGGAACATCTACGTGAACAAGAAAAGAACGTGCTTACGAATTTTTTAGCGCTAAAAATTTTTTTTTTTTTCAAAACTGTTCTTACATTTGACTTTATTGATATACTAATGTATACCATAGGACAAGTACAAAAGGCATAATTGGCATAAATTACGAAATACACACTTCTTAATTAAGTTATACAATACATCAATAATAAAAAGATAAACAAAGAAGACGAATTAAAACATTACATCTGATGGAAATACAAGAAATATTTGTTATTAGGTAATTGCACGTTTCACTTGCCCTGTTATGAAAATGCACTGTTGTTTTGTGCAATAATAAAAGTGTGAATCATGCTTTAAATAGAATTAAGCGAATCAGTTTGGAAGTTCCTTATTTAAGAAGTACAAATATATTATTTTTAGCAACATATTATAAATCCACATTATGATTTTCTGAAAAATCTTAACAGAAAATCCTATTAGTTAATAACAGTCCTTAAAACATTATCAAAGGTCCACTTGGACAGTTTATTGTATAGTTCCACATTTATAATCAAACTACGATCTTATTTCCTGAAATACATTTAGCTGAATAGAATATACTGCCTTACGTAAAACTTCGAAAAATAGTAACGAAGGAGCAAAACGTAAGACACAGATCAATAAATTATGCTACAGACTAGTTTTGTAAAAGCTGCGATACGAAACATAATCATAATATAAAAGAAAACGTGACTAGCACCAACTCTGGCAATTTGGGACACATTTGCTAAGCCAAATCTTAGAGTCCCTACTCTAGAGGAACATGAAAATGTTCTTTTCAGTAGTTTTCTTGTTCATCACATGTAACTTAAATTTTGCTAAAAGAAAATGGAAATAATTTTATATAATTAAAATAATATATTTGTAAGATAGAATATAAATGCACAAATGCAATGATATTAAATTTCCATGTTTTTACATCACCAAGTTAATTCAAAAATAGAAAATAGTTGCTCTGTAGCGTATTGTGTGTCCCAAACCGCATGAACTAATTTGTGATTTAGGGCCCTAGCTTGAATATTGGGTTCTGATTATACAATATGTTGGGCCCCAAAACAAATGGAATTACTAAATGAAACTTGAGTATTGTTTGGATACTGCTGGCAAGTGCTCGTTAGTAGCTATAGAAAACTCACTCAAACATCTACTAACATTGTTTTGTATTTAAACATCCTGTTCTTGGTAGTTGAAAGGTATAATATTTAAATGAAACACAAAAATATGCAGAAGAATGGAGAATGTATTATGTAGTGTCGAACTTTGTTCTCAAACCTACATTCACTTCTGTACACTACCTTAACATGTTTACCTACGAAACAGTAACTAACAATTAATGGAGGAAAAGGAAACGATGGAATGTGTAAAAACATGAATCAACTCAATTATATAAATATACTATATCAACTGAAGTTGGATATTGACAGACTTGAAAGATCTGTTTGTATGTTGTTATTAAACACACAGCTACACAATAGGCTTTCTGTACTGTGCCCACCGCAAGCATCGAAACACGATTTTTTGCATTATAAGGCCTCACACCTGCCGCTGTGCCTCCGGGAGGCAAACATAAAAGAAAAACATAAACAAGCTATACTGTGTTGAATTAAGACAGAGACAATTACATCAATTAATAGAAATAAATAGCCCCCCCCCTCTCCGGTAACTCAGCAGTAATTCTGACTACAATAATAGCCCATAGCGTAACAACAAACAAACAAACAAAATCCATTGAAAGGGAAATAACTGACGTGGTGAAGAATTCATACAAATAAACTAACCTGATCTACCGATCTCAACGTTTCTAGTTTCGTACCATAAAAAAAACAACTAATTTTACTAAGTCTTGGATGTCGCAATATATATTGAATGGAGATCTTTACAAGAATATTACAGCAAAATTTGGAATAAGAAAGTTTCAGAGGGAAATTTGATTTATATTTTAATTGTAAATCAAGTCATACACATGGGAAGAAGCAATAAAGTCTTAATGTAATACATATCTGGTTTAGTCAACCTCTGACAAAGATAAAAGGATTTTTAACTGTGTTATTATATTGCTTTGCATATTATTCATTGTAAAGTTGATCTTAGAAAAATTAAAATTTATAGCTTCTTTCTGTGCTTTTAACTCAAATTTCATTTGCATGAAGATATTAACTTTATATTTTTACGCATGCATGTCCTAGAATATTTTCATTTATTCAAAATCGTACGTTATTACAAGTTAACATTAGTCTAGTCAAGGTAGTGGGGAATTGTTTGATACAGGATGTTTTTGAAATTATAAGGCTAAATTACATTTTTCTTCTTGTTTTCTTCTTTCAGAAGACATTAAAAGGGCAGGGGCTCATTGAAAACAACAACAAAAAACAGGAACTTTTCAAGTATAATAAGGCAAGACTTCTTTTACGGAGGGAATGTAAGGGGAGCTATGGGAACTGTGCATTGCCTCTGGTACACATTGCGTAAAAATACATTTCTTAATCCCATTTAATTGATCTTAAAAAGACTTCTTAAAATCTAAAACTGAACGGTGAATCTTAAATGATTATTAATAGCATATTATAGTTAATTTTCACCGTAAAGACTAACACGTCCCCGTGTGTCACTCGTTTTAAAGTTGAAATCTCCTTTTCCCCAATAATTCAGTGCAAACAAGGTGCGGATCAAGCTTTTCTTTTAATCATGAAGATTTTTTCTGAGTGAGAAAAAGAGCACTTTTGGGGCGCAAGAGTAGTGAAGTGCACAAGGGCTTGAGCCACCCCCTGTGCACTTCACTGTTGTTGAATTGATTTTATTTGTTATAATGTTGACATACAATTCTTGCTCATCTCGGAGTTAAAATACTAAACTCAGTAGATACGTTTCTAAGACTATTAATCCCAGAAAGTCGTTCTTAGTTCACTTTCTTTGTTTTCTTATTAGCTGCGACAATCTTGTCACAAACAGTTTTAGACACTGAGTGACAGTTTAAATGTGGATTTAATTAAGTTCGCTAACTTTTAATATTTTAAAATTAATTTGTTTCAGACGCGAGGCTTAGGCATAAAATTTTCATTAGATGGGTTGTGCATCCTTGTGGCTGTGTACGTCCTGTTTCTCTTTAGAGATAAGTTTCATCCTCCTTAATTTCTAGCTTGGTTGCTGTTTTTGTTTGTCTTATACATATGTGTGGCACACTTTGTTTAGATGTTAAAATTAATTCAATTCATTTGCTATTTCCAACAAACACACATGTATACACTCATAGCTCTATTTTATGTCAAAGTGATATTTTTGTGATAATTTTGAATGTCTTGAATTAAATAGCTACTTTACTATATATATATATACTTTCGAAATTAATTGCTGATAACTTGAGCTTTTGTAAATATTTTCTTCAAGGAAATATATACTGAACAAAACTGCATAGACATTTTAATATGTGACTCGTGACTTTAAAGAAGCAATTATTTCTTTGCCTCAGTACATACAGCATTATAATTCTAATAATTATACATTTTTGTGTTTTATTATGCATTGATTTGTATACTTCTGTCGCTTTGTTGTAACGAATTGATAAGAAAAATACCGCTGGTATAGTTCTGTAGGAATAGATTCCACTGGCACAATTCTGCAAATCTGTAGGAATCGCAGGCCCGTACGCAGAATCTTTGAAAGTGTGTGTGTGTCTGGGAGCATGTCCCCCGAAAATGTGTAAAAAAAGGTGCTATGAGATTAAATCTGGAAGTAATTTGGCATGAAATATAGCTTAAACAATTGAATGGCTGTTCACGTCAAATCCACAAACATCCAATGAAAAGTCAACAAATCATCATTCTATTGTAGCACTGCATGTGGAGTTAGACATATTATCTGCATGCAGAGTAGTTATTAATTGTTAAATCGTATTACTAGTATAAACAACGCTGTACGACAATAGTATATTTAGCTATTTCAATCATTGGCTATCATATACGTACATGTATGCACTACTGAAATAACATATTAGCATGTTTCATTCTTCTGGGGTGCTTTTTCATAAATCACTTACATACAGTTTCAATGTTGATAGCAGTGTTATAATGATTATGTATTAAAGCTAGAGTACTCAGTCTTTGTTCGGTTTGTGTACACCTCAGGTAATTGTTCAACCAGCGGAAAGC